ATTTTGCTTCAAACTGTACTTGTTCATCTGGGGAGCATGTGAATAAAGCATCGAACTTCTATAAGGATGGTAGGAACCATAATGAAACAGTGAAGCATTGTAACCACAGTGACTCTTTGCAAAATATGAACACTTTCAAAAATTCAGTACCTTACTCTGGTACACAGAAGGCTCTAATTCCTCCTTCAGGGTCAATTGACAGGTTTATGCCTAGGACAACACAACTGCAGGAGCGGAAAAGAAGAAGGGAAGATGACCGTAAACTTGGAACTTTTCTTGAAACAAACAGTAATGAGGTTATGATTGGACCCAAGTTACCAGACATACCTAAAGTGGACCTTCAGGATGACTCTCTGAATACAACGGCGAACTTAATTCGGAATAAACTTAAAGAGGTAGGGACATTTTTAAAAACTGTTTTTTCTTGTTTTTAATATTTATTTTTTAGTTATAGTTGGACACAATACCTTTATTTATTTATTTATTTATTTGTATTTGGTGCCAAGGATCGAACCCAGGGCCTTGCACATGCTAGGTGAGCACTCTACTGCTGAGCCACAACCCCAGCCCTAAAAACTGTTTTAAGAATTTGGTTATAGGGGGCTGGGGTTGTGGCTCAGCGGCAGAGCGCTCGCCTAGCATGTGCCAGGCGCTGGGTTCAATCCTCAGTGCACACAAACACACACACACACACACACAAATAAATAAATAAATCCAACTGCATTTAAAAAATATTTAAAAAAAAGAATTTGGTTATAGGACTAAGAACTAAATGGAAAATAATTTGTGGGATCTATTGAATTGGAATTGGCTTTTTTTTTCTTTTCAGTTTTTAGTTTTCGATGTGTTTTTTTACAGTTCTGTGTTAAATTCACTGAATTTGACTAGCATATGTATTTGCTTTGATAGTAATTCTTCCTTTAAACGGTGAACAGACATATTTTACATCACACTGTAAATACAAAATACTATAATTAGTCTGTGATAGTGGATTGCAGCCCCTGCTCCACCTTTTAAAGCTCCCCAGATAGTCTTAATATGAACCAAAATTGAGCAAGAAAATTACTAGAAATTATTTCTTAAATTCAGAGTTACTACAGCTTACGTCAAATTCAAAGTATTTTGCTTCTGTAATAAACAGCACCTTTTTGTTGTGGTGGTGCTGGGAGTCAGATTCACAGGCCTTGCCCATGTGAGGCAAGAGCTCTACTGCTGAGCTATGCCCCCCAGTCCAGAAGGTGAAAATTCTAAACGATTGTGTCTTTAGACTGCCTTAAGTTCTGCATTTCTTTTCCTCATATTTTTAAAAATGTTTTTTACGTGACAGAGTATGTTTTGAAATATATATACATAGAATAAGTATAACTTGTTTCAATTAGGGTTTAAGATCTGCATTTTAAATGTGAACTTCTTAAAAGATTACAACTAGGCTGGGGATGTGGCTCAAGCGGTAGCGCGCTTGCCTGGCATGCGTGCGGCCCAGGTTCGATCCTCAGCACCACATACAAACAAAGATGTTGTGTCCGCCGAAGACTAAAAAATAAATATTAAAAAATAAATAAATAAATAAAAATAAAAGATTACAACTAAAATCAGATTGTGCTATAAGGTGGTCTTTTATTTAAATAATAATTTTCAATTTTTAAGGCACAAATAAAAGAAAATTAACATGTGAATTAGCTAAACACACACACACACACAATAATTTAGATGGATACAGTACATTTATTTGTTTGTTTATTTATTTATTTATTTATTTATATGTGGTGCTGAGGATCATACCCAGTGCCTCATGCATGCTGGACAAGCACTCTACCACTGAGCCACAACCCTAGCCCTGAATTTTCTATTTCAAGTGAAAATTGCTTTACTCTGTTTTTGACTTATTGCCCCCACTTTTTCTGATGTGTTTGGTGTTCATTTTTCCTCTAGGAAATTGAGAATGATACCATTTTCTTCTTATTTTTTCAAAATTTTCATTCTCCCAGGCATCCATGTCTCTAAATCTATGAGACATTATCAGTGTTTCAAGAAGGCAAAATCAGGATTATCTATCTGTATCTGTAAAATAACAAATGACTTTAGATCAATAAAAGAATGTTAAAGGAAAGTGTATGTTCACTTTTCTTTATCTTTTTTTTTTTTTTTCCAGTCCTTGATATTGAACACAGGGCTTCACCCATGCTAGGCAAATGCTTTATACCCCAGCCCTGCCTCCAAATCTTTTCTTGATAAATGGCTTAGAAAACTTTACTCCCACTAATGTTTGGAGTGAAAACTTAAGTGTCTAGGTTGTAGGTTGTACCTCCTACCTTAAACTTGAGCTAACTCTACCTCAAAAGTGATGGTAAGGTCAGGCACAGTGGCGCATGCCTGTAATTCCAGTGGCTCTGGACACTGAGGCAGGAGAATTTTAAGTTTAAAGCCAGCCTCAGCAATGGTGAGATGCTAAGCAACTCAGTGAGATTCTGTCTCTAAATAAAATACAAAACAGGAGTGGGGATGTGGCTCAATGGTCAAGTGCACCTGAGTTCAATCTGCAGTACTAAAAAAAAAAAGTGATGGTAAGGATTGTTGTATGTCCAGCCTCTCCTAGCAACTTATTTACACTTATTACTACATACTAAGTTTTAATGGTTCTTTTTTCTTTTTAAACTAGGTAATTTCATCTGTGCCAAAGCCTCCAGAAGATAAGTTGGAAGATGTGCCTGCAAGTCGTCCATTAAAACAAAGAAGAAGAATATAAATTGCCAGCAGCAATTTAGTATTTTCTAAAGAGAATATTTATTTTATTTTTAGTCTTTTAATTCTTTAAAAAGTTTTATTGCTGGTATTTTTTAATGTACACTTTTTTGTTATTTCATTCAAACTATTATCCAAATACAGTTTCATCTTTGACATATACTTAATATTGCAAAAATGTATCTTTCCTATAACATTCTCATGTTACAATAACCATATGTAAATCAATTGAAGCAAATATGGAAACTTTATAATACAAATAAAGTTAAGCAACCAGGATCTGTCTCTGATTTTAATTTAAGTATTGACTTATTCACTTATTGAAAAACTAGAAGTCAGCGTATCTCTGAATGTCAGTGCTTCAAAATGAAGGCAATTCTGTAAAGTAAAAAGGTTAACAGAAATTAGAACAAAGTTGAAATTAGAAGTTTACACTGTAGTTAGCTTTTAAGAATTTACTTAATCTGTGGCAATCAAAAAACAAATCCGGGGGTGGGGGTCTGGGATTGTGGCTCAGCGGTAGAGCGCTCGCCTAGCACAGGTGGGACCCGGGTTCGATCCTCAGCATCACATAAAAATAAAGGCATTGTGTTATGTCCATCTACACCTAAAATAATGATTTTTTTAAATTATTTTTTTAATAGTAAGGTGCTTTGACTCTCCATCTCAGGATCTTGCCAAATTGCAAGTTCTTATGGTGGTGGGGAGGGAAAATGGGGAGTTGTTTAATGAGTATAGAATTTCAGTTTTGCAAGACGGAAAGAATTATGGAGATTGATGGTATGACTTTGTGTACATACTCGACACTACTGAACTGTACACTTAAAAATGGTTAAGGGCTAGGGATTTAGCTCAGTTAGTAGAGTGCTTCCCTCACATGCATAAGTCCCTGGGTTCAATACCCAGCACTACAAAAAAAAAAAAAAAAGAGAGAGGGCTGGGATTGTAGCTCAGCGGTAGAGTGTTTGCCTAGCATGTTGAGACACTGGGTTCAATCCTCAGCACCGCATAAAAATAAATAAAGGTAGTGTGTCCATTTATAACTAAAAAATTTTTTTAAATGGTTAAGAGGGTAAGTTTTCTGTTGAGTGTATTTTGCTACAATCTGAAGAATTTCCTAAAGGGAGGAGCCATTAAGATAGATTCTCTGTTCTTGAGTAGGTCCTTGTGACTGTAAAGAGTCCAGCTGTGTCCCCATTTCACCAACATACACAATATTTGACCATGATGATAAAGAAAGCTTTCTTGTGTCAAGTGAGGGTTGAGGAGAAGAGATTCTGATTCAGTTAGTTTTGGGTGGGGGCTGAAATTCTTCATTTTTCACAAGTTCTCAGGAAATACTATTGCTAGAACAGAGAAGGCTCTAGATAACTGTGAAAGATAAACTCTTGGGGAGAGGCTGAAGAATGTTGGGTGTTCGATATCCTAAGTTGTTACTCCAATCCAGTCCATTTATGCTATTGCTCTTTTCACCTATCAGTCTCTTAAAATTGGAAACTTACCTTTTACGCATGGCTTTTTTTCTACACATTTCCAGACAGAACTAAAATTTGGGGTCTAGGAAATAAACTACAGTAGGACAAATAAGAGAAAGGAGCTTAGATGGATAAGAATAATTTAGCAACATGCAAGTTAATTTGCAAAATCACCCTATAAGTTATTACAGAAAATAAGAGTTACTTCCTACATTATGTTTGAAAAGTATAATTGATCAAAGGAAGAATAAGGAAATTTTATGAGCCAAATCAATTACTGGGTTGATCTTTCAGCTCAGAAAATTTGTCAGATTCATACATGAAAATTCTTCTTGAGCACAAATAAAATGGGATGGGGCCACTTTATTTATGATTGTCTGAACTTCAGCAACGGGCTACAGCTACAGAGATCAGAGTCTAGCAAGTACTAATTTCTGACCCTGTTAAAATGTTCCCTCAAGCTAGGCATGGTAGCACACACATAAAATCCCAGCTGTTTGTTTGGCTGAGGCAGGGGGATTATAAATTCCTGAACAACTTAGTGAGACCCTGTCTCAAAATAAAAAGGACTGGGGATGTAGGCTCAGAGCTAGAGAATTTGCCTGAAGGTGCTGGGTTCAATCCCTAGTACTATAAATAAACAAACAGATAAATCAGACTGGGGATATAGCTCAGTGTTTGCCTAGAATGTATGAGCCTTGGATTTGATCCCCAGTATCTTAGACACACACATACACACAAAAGTTCCCTCATCAAATTGAGCTTTTGGCATTTGTAATATACCTGTGCTGTTGGCAAACATGGTCCAAACACCTCCAACAGAAGTCTGTCTTCTCTCACTGCTTTTTCAAAGTCTGCAAAAGATACCTTGCCATCGTTGTCATAATCCTAGACAGGAAGATGATTTCTTGATAAGTGATATAGAGCCATTTTACATTTTGCCATGGAAAACAGCTGTTTAGACTAAAAGGTTCACCAAGTAAAGCTGTAAATTCACACTTTTGAAGACATTATTTACCTAAATCAGAAGGTACATATTATTTATGGATACCACTTAATTTTATTCCTATTATTCTAATAGGAATATCCAAGTCACCTTAGCAATATAAAATTTAGCCTTATCCTTAAAATTACACTTGAATTGGGGAAATAAGAAAAAATAGAAGAATTCTATTATTTTACTCCTTTTGTGATGAAATAGGTGAAGCAGAGCAGATTTTTCAAGCTTAATTTTTTTTTGTAGCACTTGTTCCTCAAAAGATCTCTTAGTTGGGAGCCTATTGGGTAAAAAGGATAGAAGTGAAGTTGCTTTGTTATGGATCAGGTCACCAGGAGTTACAGCAGTAGCTGCTCAGGATAGACTAGAGTCATGAGATGAAGCCTGCAGATCACTGCTGGGTTTAAGGATGGTTGAGATCTGGATAGGTAGAGGAGCCACCTGAATTGACAGCAGGGTATAAGTCAGTAAAGCTTTCATGACAAGGCTTAGGATATATTACTATATTGTGCAGGTAGGGAAAATACGGAGAACTTGTGTGTAGATTATGGATGCCTTTAACTGATTAATTGAGTTGGGTCAGATGAGATGAGTCCTTGTTTTTTCACTTCTGGGCATGACTTCATCAGGGTTGCTGAGAGTTTTTAGTTGTAGATGAACACAATACCTTTATTTCATTTATTTATTTTTATGTGCTGCTGAGGGTCAAACCCAGTGCCTCACACATGTGAGGCAAGTGCTCTACAACTGAGCTACAATTCCAGCCTGGAGTCTTAATCTAGAGAAAAATTTGAATACATTGTCAAAAAAAAAAAGTTTATTGCAAAAACACTTCCTTGGAAAAAAGAAGGGGATGGGTGGTGCTGGGGAAGCTACTGTCTCTGAAGAAGTAATCTACACTCAGCCCTTGCAGCAGATTCAGAGTATTTCTGAAAGAAGAGGATACTCTGAAGTTTGCCTTAATGGAATCCTTGGTTGCTTTCCTGAGTTTCAGAGTAATGTCAGTGGCATGGGCCAGTGCTGCCTTGGATTCACAAAACCTTACTGTATCCAGGGTGACAGTAAGAAAAGCGTAGAAGTCAGTATGTCCATAGAAAAGAGCTACTATTGGTTTTAGTGAAAGATAAATTTTGTACAAGGTTTTCTAATGTGACATTAGGTAAACCTTTTTATACTTCAGTTTTTGTCATCTGCAAATGGAGATAGGATTATTTTGAGGATAAAATGAATCAATACATTAAAGTTCTCTGGAGAGTCTGGCATATATAGCAGGTATTCTGTAAAGGTCAAATATTTTTATTTTTGTTATTTTGTTGTAATGAATACTTCGATGGATTGTAGGGGAGAGGTCATGAAGACAAAATAAAGTGGACCCGATTTTACATGAACTGAATCTGGCCTCCCCCTAAATTAATGAGGTTTTACTAATAGTAAAATATTTTAAGGAATAAAGTTCATATTTATGGGCTGGGATTGTAGCTCAGTGGTTGAGTGCTTGCTGCGCATGCGTGAAGCACTGGGTTTGATCCTCAGCACCACATAAAAAATAAATAAATAAAACAAAGTGTGGGAGGCCAAACTAGCACGTGACCGCATTTGTCTCCTCTTCTGATTGGTTTGGCATCTCGGTTACTCTGTGATCTGGTTGCCTACGTAAGCCAGACAGTAGCCCCGATCTTAAAGGTCCAGTTACTGTGTCTCATTCATGAGCGTGCCTTCCTACATCCCCATGGCGTGGAGCTATGCTCACCTGTTCCTTTATAATATTACCCCTTGTCCTGTTTGGGTTGGAATGTTCCATGGAAACGCCCTTTTTTCCCTTCTCTTACTCTGCCCTTGGGTGTGGCCCTTCCTAGATGTCAGTCAACCTGCTGACAGTGGACATCATGAAGATAGACTCAGCCCTCTGAAATCTGACCCCTTGCCTCATTTGAATAGCTTCTCCTCAATAAAAGGGGTCAGCACATACTCGCTCTCTCTTTCTGCAGACCCTTAAGGTCAGAGGAGCCATCACAGCACACCCCGCCCCACAAAAAAAAAAGTATTTCTGTCTCTTGTGTGGTTATTTCACGCAGCCCAGTTCTCCTGGAGTGACCCCTGAGTGTTTTAGTGGCATGTAACTAGGCAAATGGCGTCCCTGGTGGGCGAAAGGTTTGAGTGTTTAAGTCGCTGGGAAAGCGACAACAAAGATTTAGTGTCCATCTACAATTTAAAAAAAAAATTTTAAGTTAATATTTAGGACTGGGGTTGTGGCTTAGTGGTAGAATGCTTTCATTCCATCTCTGCTCATCTATCAGCCAGACACTTTTAGATGAGCAGAGATGGAATCATGAGATGAATAGAGCAGAGAATAAACAAAAAGACCTGACGTTCATCAATATAATTTAAGGAAATTAAATTTCTTAAGGTTTATGCAACATCATCTTGATTGAGTATATGCATTACAGTTTTTCAGTCTTACCATTTTCTTCAGTGCTATCTCTACCAATTCTTTTACTCCTTCATCATTCTCTTCTTCAGACGATTGTTGATACAGACTGTTCTTCAACATGTTGAATATTTCCTCTCGAGAAATGTAACCATCTCCATTCAAATAATAAACTTCAAAACAGACTTTTTAAAACATAAGAAGTTTAAAGACTTGGATGAGAACCGTTAAATGTCATTAGTCTTCTCCTTAATTATTTCAACATAAGATACCAAAAGAGAAAAACAATTTATCTGCCATATTATTACTGATAGTAATATGGTAGGAAGTTATGTGGTAGGAAGATTTTAGAATAAAGAATCTTTGTTACATGTCTTTAGATATTTTAAGCAATTCATTTCCTTGAAAATTCCATTTAAAATTATTCCTATTCTCTTTCCAGGGTTCCTCTCCCCAAATCCTGATGCCAGAGGAGTAAAACATAGGAAATAAACATCATACCAACAAGACAGACTGGAGCCGCTATTAGGAAGATAATTGGGAGACTGTCCTCTTTGTGACTCTAATGTTATTTTTAATAAGTAGGTGGCTTCACTTATAACACTCCTATCTTTGGGCTTGCACTGTCTTCAACCATTTTCCTCTGCTCAGTTGTCTAAAACAAATCTAACAGCAGAGTATTAGTGTCCAGTGGTTAGTGTGTGTTTAACTTAATCCTGTGCCAACCCTCATGTTTTCTTTGATGAAAAGATGAGGAATGGGCTGGGGATGTGGCTCAAGCGGTAGCGCACTCGCCTGGCATGCGTGTGGCCCGGGTTTGATCCTCAGCACCACATACAAACAAAGATGTTGTATCCGCCGAGAACTAAAAAATAATAAAATAAATATTTAAAAAAAAAGGTGAGGAATGGCCTCAAAATAACACATGAACAGACCCACATCAGGGGCTGAGCCCAGAAGCATCCTCAGAAGCCTCAGCCCTGCCAGCTGATCAGAGTTGACACAAGCCTGACCCTTAGCTGCTGTTCTTAGCCTGGGCTGTAAGCCAAAGAATCATTCTAGGGACATTTGAGCATTATGGAACCAGGGAAGGAAGTGATTGGGGCTCTAGCACTTGGGACTCTTCCATGACCTTACAAATAGGCCACCCATTTCATCTGGTCTGTTTTATTTTTTCAAGCTGTTGTGAATAACTTTTGCAAAGTTGTTATAGACAACACTGATTTCATATTTTTAAATGCATAAGCATTCACTACAAAATTGATGATATATATTATTAAGGCAGTAATTCCATCTTACATTTCAACTTTTCTTCAAATGTCCCTCGAAGAAACACTGACAATCCTTTTACCCATTCTTTCACATTTATGGAGTTATCATTGTCTTTGTCAAATGCAGAAAAGACTAAAACAAACAAAGAAAAAAGAATGTTGGTATGTTGTAATTGAGATGTTTTGTAACTTAACTGTGTGTGTGTGTGTGTGTGTGTGTGTGAGAGAGAGAGAGAGAGAGAGAGAGAGGAGAGAGAGAGAGAGAGAATAGATAGAAAAACTCCCACATTGAGGAGGAAAAACGGTTTTGGTCCAATCACCCAGAAAGTGTCAAAATTATTGGAAATGTGTTTTCCCCTATACACTTAAAACAAAAAGTCATTCTGTTTCATGAGAAAGAATGTGCTTCATTTTTTATGTTTTATACAGTCACAGCGGGGCCAAGAAGACAAACAATGTAGCTAATAAGTGACATAATTTCTATTCCTAAAAATTTGTTCCTATGATGCTAGGTAATCTGGTCATAAAAAGTGGTGGAAATTTTGCTCTAAAAAGTTTCCAAAACTACTTGAAGGTAAATTATTTAAATAATACACTATTTTAAAAATTGCCAGTGAAATCTTGATATTATACTGTAGAAGATAAATTAAAATGTTATTTACTCTTTTGGAGATGATAAATATGTTAATGATTTTGATTATGGTAGTTGTTTTACAGGTGTATACATATGTCAAAACTTACAAAATTGTTCACTTTAAAGATCTGTTACTGAAACTAATTGGATTACACTATTTCTTATTTCAAGTAATATAATTTTTGATTTCTAATGAAGAGTCATTATCATTTTTATACTGATACATTCTCCATTTTTTTGAGGAAAAAGAGGTCAATGAATAATTTGTCTGTAATATATAACCCCCAAAACATCATGATTAAAAGCCACAAGATGCTTCTCTTTTGAGAATTTATTTATTGCTGATTATTTCTCAAAGCCATACAGCTATGGAGACATGAAATTCTGAGTGAATTTGTATTAAAAAAAGCATCTTTGGGGCTGGGGTTGTTGGCTCAGTGGTAGAGCACTTGCCTAGCGTGTGTGAAGCTCTGTTTGATCCTCAGCACCACATAAAAAAAATAAATAAATAAAAAATAAAGGTATTGTGTCCAACTAAGACTTAAAAAAAAGGCATCCTCACAAATGGATGAAATTGAAGGACATCATGTTAATTAAAATAAGCCTAACACATAAAGACAAGGAGTATCACACATTTTCTCTCATATGTGAAAACTAAAAAAACCCCAAAATCTCAAAGTAGAAGAGATGCTATATTTGGGAAGGGGATGGTATTGAAAGAAGGAAGGGTGGAGGAGAGAGAACAAGAGGTTGTGGAAGGGGTAGTGGTAGACATGATCAAGGCACAATATGTTCATATATGAAAGTGTCACAGTGAAACCCATTCATTTGTACAATTAGTGTGAGTTAATTATAAAAAATTTAAAATAGTAGTTTTTAAAGAAACCATCCTCATGGGACTGGGATTGGGTTCAGTGGTAGAGTGCTTGCCTAGTAAGTGTGAGGCACTGGGTTCGATCCTCAGCACCCCATAAAAATAAATAAAATAAAGATATTGTGTTCACCTACAAAAAAAAATGTAAAAAAAACCATCCTCACAAACAATTACCTATTTGGCAATGAAAAAAGTTCAGTCTATGATGAAAATTGAATACATATTATGTAGTTTCCATTCAGATTGACATGTTTTAGTCTGTTAATGACTTCTTACCCCTATCCATCAATGTATCATCAGTCATTCCAAATATGTTGTTCAGGATCCCTCGAAATTTGTTACGATCTAGCCCAGTATTTCCAGATTTCCCACCAGTTCTTCCCACCACGCTGTAAAAGAGTCTTATGAGACATTCTACTTCACTTCTTTTGACTGTAAAGTGAAAATACAAATACAACTTAGATTTAATCATTGAATTATTTAACCTAATTACATATATTTTACTAAGCTACTATTTTGTTCCTTTAATGCTAAGTAGTCTGAAGATAGGGGGACAAAGAATGATACAGACTTCTTAAGAGCTTACACAATTAAGGTGGGCCTAACTCAGAAATTCTTAAGACAGTATGTAACTGCTAAATTATGTAATATAATGATCACTAACATAGACATGTGAAATTGGTTTGGTGGAGGGGAGTTGGGCCATTTTCTTTCTTTCTTTTTCTTCTTTTTTTTTGAGAGAGAGAGAGAGAGAGAGAGAGAGAGAGAGAGAATTTTTATATATATATATATATATATATATATATATATATATATATATATATATATATATATATATATATTTTAGTTTTCAGCAGACACAACATCTTTGTTTGTATGTGGTGCTGAGGATTGAACCTGGGCTGCATGCATGTCAGGCGAGCATGCTACCACTTGAGCCACATCCCTAGCCCCGAGTTGGGCCATTTTCATGGGAGAAGTAGACTTTGAACTGGGCCTTGAAGGATGTATATAGTAATTTATTTAGGAAGGAGTGTGTTGGAGGCAGTAAGAAGTGAATTTTATGGAAATTGAATAACAGTTAATAAAAGAGGTAGAATTAGGGTTGAGATTGAACATGTCTTAATGGGAGTTGGGAAGAAGTGATAAGGTAGCAGAGGATTGGCTGATGGGAGAAGGGCATTTTTTTCCCTTCTTTTTGATAACAGAGATTGAACTCAGGTATTCGACCACTCAGCCACATCCCCAGCCCTATTTTTTATTTTATTTAGAGACAGGGTCTCACTGAGTTGCTTAGCACCTCACTTTTGCTGAGGCTGGCTTTGAACTTGTGACCCTCCTGCCTCAGGTTCCCTAGCTGCTGGGATTACAGGCATGCACTACCATGCCCATCGGTGAGGATGTAGGGGGAAAGACACACTCATACATTGCTGGTGGAGCTGTAAATTGGTGCAACCAATCTGAAAAGCAGTATGGAGATTCCTTAGAAAACTTGGAATGGAATCATCATTTGACCCAGCTATCCTACTCCTTGGAATTCAGATACTTAACAGCTCCTGTCCCTAACCCATTAAGTCTAACCTCTGGATTCACAATTCTGACAGTACATCAGAATCACCTGTGTATTTCTTCAAAACAGCATTTTACTAAGTCTGGAGCAAGACCTGTGTATGTGAATATTTAAAAACTTCAGGTTAAAACGGACAGATCTGGTATTCACAAAGTCCTGTTGATTTTCGGCAGCATCTCAGGCTCCCTCCCAGGTTTTCTGTCCTTATTTCCACCTTCTTGGCCAAAGCCCTGTCCTGTCACTCCACTCCTGGCTTTAAGACTTCTCACTTTTCTCCTTTGATACAACTTTGCCAGATGAATTTTCCTAAACCATTTTGACTACCCCTGATCTCTTGTTGCAAAATATTTACTGGCTTAACCCCAAAATTCTCAATCCCTGGGATATAAGAGTCAACTGAGCTCTTGTTTAAAAGTTGATTCTTGGGCTTACTGTTAGTAATTCTGATTTAGATCTGGAACAAGTCCTAGGAACCTGCATAGTTAATAAGCATGGGGCAGAGAAGGGGTAGATTCTCTGAGGTGGTCCAAAAATGAACATTACGAGAAATACTGCTCCTGTTCAACAAATATTTTTCCTCCCTTTGGTAGGAGTGATCAGAGATACATTTCACAATATATATGAATTTTGGTAAGGTATCTGACAAACTCTTTCATTCTTATAGATATCTAGCACAATGGTAGGCTCTCAATAAATATTTGCCAAGCAAATGATAAAACACTGTCACTTGTAAATGGAAGTACTTGTCAAATTCAGGACTTAAGTTGGAGAGGTGAAGAAATATGTGAAATAAGAGTCACTTCTAGATGCCAAATGATCAGTTAAATAAAGCAACATGAAATGATTAGGTTTTGAAAGTCCCCAGTGTTATCTAATACCTGGAGTGAAAATTTGGGACACTTCTAGAGACTTTTAATACATCTAGGGTGGTTTTACATTTTCAATTAAAATCTTTTTGATTATGATGGTATAGTTAATCCTGTAATTATTATATTTATATTTGGAATAAGAAGTATAGTCAGGCTTAACTATAGAACGTGTAGGCCTAGCGTACAATGAAAAAGCAAGTCTCTTGTTCAGAAACTGTGAGCAACCGAATATTAAATTATAAATGGGGCCCAGTGAGAATGTACAGTTTGCATACCTGTGAGGCCATACCCTTGAAGTGATTATTTACCTGTTTCCCCCACTAGATTTAAGGTAATTATTTGGAAAAGGTGAATTATTTGTGCCTCCAAAGCATCACCCAATGAAGCTTTCTGAAATGTTTTATATCTGTGCTGTTCAGTTTGGTGTGCTGTTCAGTTTGGTAGTTGTCACCCACATGTTGACCCCTGAAAAGTGGCTAGTGTGATCAAGAAAATGGATTTTATTTTAAACCAGTTTTTACATGTAAGTAGTCAAAAGCAGCTAATGGCTACCATATTAGTCAGTGCAACTCTAGAGAGCAGAATAAAGATTAATATGTACAAGTTATATTAGCTCCAGAACATAAAACATTCTAGATCTGTCTGAAAAAAAAAAATTGGTATTTGCTGTGTGGGAACAAATTCCTTTGTGAGGTCACTGGAGGTTGTTGAGAGCCACAGCCGAAGGGGCCCCAGCAAACTTCCAGCTGCTGGCTGATGATTGGCTCACAGCGGCCCCAGCAACATCTAGCTGATTGGCTCCTCGGCCCCAGCAACATCTAGCTGATTGGCTCCTCTGCGGTGATGCTCATTGGGCTGTTTCCCTGCCCTTTCAGACCACGGAGCTGCTCATTGGGGGACTTTTTTGGCTCCGCCCACGTGACCCAGCCAATCGGCCTCAAGAGCAGGAGGATTGTGGGAGGTGGAGAGAAGCTTGTGTGGGAGAGAGAGGCTTGTGGAAAGCCGGTGGTGGCAGTTGAGGCTCTGAGGGTTTTTCCTGAGAGGCTGTTTTGTTTGGCGTGTGTGGTTCTAAAAATAAAGTTAGTTTCTTTTGACAAGTGGCTCCTGATTGTGCCCAGCCAGACTGCGGCAGGAGGTAACTAGCTTTCTGAGGAGAGTCGCATGGTGGAAGTTGTATGGACTAGAAGAGTCCTTCTGATCAATGACTAAATTATGAAGATTTCCACTTGAGGTCTAAAGCAAAGCCCAGGAGAAATCACTTCAACATTTTGCCAAATGAGACAATTAAAATTTTGTACATCAAAAGAAATAATAAAAAGTCAATCCCTGTGAGGTTAAGATAATTACTCCCTCTTGTTAGCTCCCACCATTCCTACCCACTAACAACAAAATTTCAGTCACAAGACCAGTGTCTATCCTGGTCTCAACTGCAGTGAGTCAAGAACTGAGCTAAATTTAAGGAGTCTTTATTGTGCACTTACTATGTGAGAGCAAGCTACATAGAAAGAGCACAAGGACTCTCTGAAATGCTTATCAATAGGGTTAATTTGAGAACTAAAGATAATATTTTAGTGTAGTCTACAGCATCAGATTCAACATCAACTTTGCCAGAACCAGAAAAGTCCACTAGCTAACTTTTGATAAAAAGATCTAATTTTGGTTTCTAGTACTGAAAACTAGGAAAATATCACATACCCTATTGGGTTTGTGCTTAAAATTTAAAGATGCTTAATATAAACCACTTAGTACAGTGTCTCATTAAGGAAAAGCTCAGTAAATACAGGTTATTTGTGATCAGAGTGTAAAACAGTTAACTATTCATTCAGGGCTTAAGTTTTTGCACAGGAATTAGTGTCAAAAGCTTTGAGAAAACGAAGGAATCCAATACCTTCTTTTTTTTCAAATACAGTACTATGAGATATGGTTCTGATCAATTATATATTCCTATCTACAGATCCCAGCAATTGCTTTCAAATAACAAACTATAATATCCAACATATGGCTAGCAGACATTGCTAAAATAACTTGATTATTATGGGGGAATTGGATTTTAAAAATACGTAAAACTTCCTTTTTAAAAAATATTTATTTTTGGTTGTAGATGGACACATTACCTTTATTTTATTTATTTTTATGTGGTGCCAAGGATCGAACCCAGGGCCTTGGACATACTAGGCGAGCATTTTACCCCTGAGCCACACTCCAGGTCCCAAATTTCCTTTTGAATGTTCTATGACTCAGGCTCCATTAAGAAAGAAATGACAGTAATTATTATACTCAGCACTGGCTAAATCTACAGAACAGATATTAAGCATGTAATATATGTAAGCAAGATTGGTAAACAGATCCTTAGAAGTGCCTGAGGAACTTCAATCATATAAATCCCAAATGGAAAACTGAGTTAAGACTTCAGTGGAAGTTGTAGGTGGTATTATCCTGAGGTCGTACAAGATGAAATGGACGTATTCCATAATGAGACTGAAATAATGAGTCTGTGGCTGAAATTAAGTAACTTCATGAATGTCTAACAGATTGAGAATTATCAGTCAGGACTTTCAGTCATATCCGAGAAACAAAACTGTTAAGATTCCTTGTTAAAGTTGATTCATGGCAAGGCTTAAAAAAGTGTTACATTGAACTAACTTTAATAAGCAAATATTTTCTGTGTGCAAAGTACCATGCTGTTTTTTAAAAAATTATTTTTATTAATTCTGGAGTAGAGCAATCATTCACCATTGAGTTTTGTGCCAGAAAATTCAGGGAATTGGCCAAAGTAAACCTTTATACTTAAAAATTTTTCATTAAATTTCAGTATGACTAAAATAAAATCAGTTCTTAGTTGTCAGATAACCCTTTCATATGATGCCATGTAAATCCTCAAGCTCTTCTTCTCACATACATTTTAGGATACCCAAAGGTTAAAATATTTTGTTTAGTATAATTGCTTAATTGCCTATTTTTAATAGATAGCCAAAATAGTACATAGAAGTAGAGGGAATCTATTTTAGGTTTACAAAGCACTTGTTAATGTCCAACTAATGTCTATTGATTTTTTAATTTGACAGAACCAATGTTCAGGCAGTATAGGATGTCTGGTCAGTACTTACAGCTCTTGACAGTTTTACTGATGGGTTCCACCAGTTTCTTCAGAACCCTCTGATTCATGTTGACTGTGGCTCCAGCACACAATAAGATTCCCCAGATAGTCAAGCTCTAAGCCTGGGTGTCTTGAGTTACACTGATAGCAGAGGTCACTACTCTAATCTCAGACACAATGTGACCATGGCAACTAGCCAGCAACCAAACAAAAGGTTTCTAAGCAGTTGAAAAAAAAATATGCAACAATGGTTGCCACCACTTGGGATATATGCAGGAATTTCATTAAGGTTATTTTGATCTGAAACGTTATAGTAATTCTAACATCTTTTCTTTTGGGCTAAGTATCACTTAAAGTTGCATTTCATATTTTTGCCATTTATATTATCAGCACAAATCAGAAATGTTTTTCCACTTTATTTGAACATAAAATAACTAAGATCACAACGAGCTTATTAAGTTGAAATAATTTTCTAGGGCGTCAACATTTCCTTCAAAGGTTATAACCTCCTCTAAACTCTAACCAAGCACCCTTATGAAATCCAAATGAGAGGCTTCAATCTGGGAGCTTCTAGGATGTAAAAACCCACTTTCATGCCTCCTATTTAGACCTGACTGACTAGCTAGCAAGAAACATGGTTAGGACAAAGCTGAACTCATATGTCTATTTTAAAATCCACGCTACCTACTAGTCTATGGTCTGTTGGCCTTCACCGTAGTAAGATCAAGAAAATGTACTAAAATGATTTCTAGAATTTTGGATGCAATATTCTTATGGTACTAGAGATTAAACCCAGGGCCTCACAAATGCTTAGACACACATCTTTATCACTGAGCTATATCCTGAGCATATCCCCAGCCCTAAGATACAATATTCTTACCAATTTGGGTAGGGTGGGTCTTAGGGATTAAACCCAGAGCCTCATATGCTACCACTGAGCTATACCCCCACCCCCCTTACTAGATTCTTTTTTTTTTTTTTTAAGAGAGAGAGAGAGAGAGAGAGAATTTTAATATTTATTTTTAGTTTTCGGCGGACACAACATCTTTGTTTGTATGTGGTGCTGAGGATCGAACCCGGGCCGCATGCATGCCAGGCAAGTGTGCTACCGCTTGAGCCACATCCCCAGCCCCCTTACTAGATTCTTAACATTAAAATTAGTTTTAAGCCAGGGCATCAACATTTCCTTCAAAGGTTATAACCTCCTCTAAGCTGGCCAAAGTAAACCTTTATACTTAAAAATTTAATACTTAATAATTACATGGCTGTAATCCCAGCTACCTGGGAGGCCTTGGCCCTAAGCAATTAGTGAGACCCTGCCTCAAAATAAAAATAAAAAAGGGCTGGGGATATGGTTCAGTGATTATGCACCCCTATCTTCAATCTCAGGTACCAAAAAAAAAAAAAAGTTTTAAAACAAGGCAAATAATTGGGGGCAGGGGGCTGTCTTCCTAAAATCTTCCTTCCAAAAATACTAGATGGATGCTCATAGGTTTTAAGTTAAAAAAAGTTCAAATAGCAGTTCTCACTTGGCTTCCCTGAGGTTAGTCTACTGTTTACAATGAAAAGATAGAAAATTAATTTTTAACACATCTTAAATGAGAAAAAAAAAAAAAAAAAAAAGAACCTGTATTCTGAATAAAATAAAATCAAGACACTCTAATGGTACTTCAAATACCTAAATACACTGAGGGCAACCAAGGAAATTCAAAGTGACTAAAGTAAGTAGCACTGGTATAGAGCCAATTTTTCTATCCAGACACTCATCAATTTCTGGCAGTTATCCAAGTACCGTTATCGAAACAACATGCCTCGTCTTTGTACAATTGGTGTTCAGTTACTCAAGAAAGACAAAGCGTGGTTTGTGGAAGGAGGAAGAGATATTATTATCCTGTACATTGTAGTTAACTATGAAATAAACATAACTGACAGCATTACTCTGTCAAATACTCTTTCCATACATTACTGGAAGACTGTTATTAGAAAAACAATGAAAAAAGGCGTTTCATATTCAGTAAACAGAATCTGAAAAGTATAGTTTTTTTTTTTTTTAAATCAAATCACATTGTTCCCTCTTCCCCAGCCTAATGAACAGTTGCTTCTAGCGGGACAGGACAATTATATTCTGGACCAGTCTATAAAGTTATGCTTCTATATTCATAGCAAAACTAACCAACAAATGACCTAATAAATTTTTTTTTTGGCACTTTCATTAACAATTTTCTTTTGGAATATGAAATGCTGGTCAAAATTTCTGTGTACTTGAGCATAGATATCTTTTAACAGTATGCAGTCTTAAGCACAAAATCTAAAGGAATTTTCTAGGAAATGTTACTTTTATAGTTAAAAAACTTGTGGTTCTATCTTATCTACCGACTAACCAAGTGGTATTTATCTTTATAACTACCTGTGACCCAAAGGGAGATAAGAACACAGCTATTTTTAAGTAAAATAGCTATTTATTCAGCCTCGTCATGCCAAAATGTTCTGTGCATATGCCACTATAATCAGCATACCCCCTGTAACAGGCAAAACTGTACATCAAATTATATTTCATATTACTTGATTATATAAAAATGTAAAACGAAAGTGATTTATCAATTCCTTTTAACATTCCTAATAATTCAGCAGAAGATATGAGGCACAAAATCTTAGTAAAATATGACACAGAAAGAGCAGTGATAAAACTCTCACTTAAATTTAACTCATTATAATTTGTTATTAACATACAAAGACAACAAGCTTTTAAAACATTATATTTACTAAGATTCTGGCAACAGCTTTATGTAACAAGATACAGCATACCAGGCCTGCCATTCAACTTGTTTATATAAGTCTCAGCTTCAATATGAAGCTGTTAAAAAAAAAAAAAAAAAAAAAAAAAATCAAAACCCTGCTTTTTACATGCTAAATATCTTGGCAAGTATGCCACTAAACATAGTAATGAACTTAAGACAGCAAGAGTAAGGAGTTAACAAAAGCTAAACATTGCAGCCTAAACAAAATTCATACAAAAAATAAAGTAACTATTGCTGGTTACATAAAATTTTCCTGACCAGTTAAACTTAACTGTATAAAACATGCATTTTAGAATCTTCAGCTATCAAGTCCAAAAGGTACCAGTGTCTATCTCCAAAGCCAAAGTATAGTCAAACTTAATTCAAATGACGTAACACATTCTAAAGCTAAAAAACATTCAGTTATTATTATCATGGAGATAAATACCAGAGCTTCGGGGACTTTCTCATGCTGTAAAGGGTTGTTTTTCTGGTTCACTCAAAGCAGCATATGATAAAGTCCAAGGATGTCACTAAGCTCAGTAAAGGGTAAAGACTGTTGGTACCCAGCTCTGACCTCCCCAGGAAGCATGGCTACTGTGTCCATAAAAGTAGGATGTGTGAAGATCAAAGGCACGCTATTCTGCTAGCTAAAGAGATAGCAAATCACCCCCCCCCCCACTTTAAAATCTCCTTCCCCAGGTAAATAAAAGCATACAAGGGGGAAAAATTAAAATACACTTATCTACACAGTAAGGATTTTGAAATATTAATGTGATCCCTACTTTAAAAATTTTAACTAGAGTCATCTGGTCAATTCTGATTACACCTTAAAGATGCATCCAGATTCAATTTGTGTTGATTTATCACTAGGTACTTCTAGTTTAAAATATTAGCTTTATTCCCAAATATCTTAACCACTAGTATGACTGCAGTGTATTATCTTCCAGTTATCAAGCACTGGAAGAAAAAACAGATGTTCAAGCAGCAGGCAATAATCATGGCCCTTCCACACAGTGGCCTCTGAGTGGCTCTAATAGTCCAGGAATAATTCTAAAAACAAGAAAATTCATGCATTTTAGTAAATATGTCATAATTTTCACAGTTGAAATTTCCTTTGACATTGCACTTTCTTTATAAGGGAATCCTGGTTTTTCTTATTGTTACGGTGAGTCAGGACTTGAACTAGCAGCCTTCTTTTTCTTCTTCTTACTGTGTTTCTTATGCTTCTTTTTCTTTTTGATTTTTTCCTGTAAAGACAATTCTACATTAGATATCACTACATCATGAAAATATGCAAATTATGAACATCTTTACAATTGTACTTCTAAGCTACTATAAGCAATTTATACAAGATAAACTACTCAAAACATTTTTCCAAGAGTCCTAACTACCAGTATCATATGAGCACTAGGAGTCTTTTGTTGATTTTCTTTAAAAAAAAATTTTTTTTTTAGTTATTTTATTTATTTTTATGTGGTGCTGAGGTTTGAACCCAGTGCCTCGCACATGCTAGGTGAGCACTCTACGCTGAGCCACAACCCAGCCCTTTTGTTGATTTTCAGAAAGGCAGCAAAACACTTAAGTCATTAGCACATTACCACAGCTTCTAACAAAATTCCCTGTAGACAATAAATTAAATTGAATCATGCTATCAATTGTTATATTTCCTGTTTTATAATTTCTACAAGTAAAGTAATTGTAACTACTGCAAAGGAGTATCCCATCACAGTACAACATTTGTTTTGGTAAAATAAAATAATAGTTTTTAGAGAGAACAGAAATATTAAATCAGCCTTTTTTTTTTTCTTTTTTGGTACCAGGGATTGAACACAGGGGCACCTGACTACTGAGCCACATCCCCAGCCCTATTTTGAATTTTATTTAGAGACAGGGCGTCACTGAGTTGCTTAGTTAAACTTGCTTTTTGCTGAAACTAGCTCTGAACTCATGATCCTCCTGTCTTAGCCTCCAGAGCTGCTGGGATTATAGGCGTGTGCCACCCAACCCGGCTTAAATCTGCTATTTTTAAGTAAATAGGAACACATACTATGCACAGCTCAGTCTGGAAGCACTACTTTATTAAATTAACAGCAACTCATTAGTATATTGACATACAGCTGAAAACTACTGTAATGTGTTTTTTTGTTTGTTCGTTTATTTTTGTTTTAAGGTTCTGGGGATTGAGTCCAGTAGCATTTTACCACTGAGCTACATTCCCAACCTTTTAAATTTTTTTTTTTTTAAATTTGAGACATGGTCTTGCTAAATTACTGAGACTAGCCTCAAAGTTGGGGTCCTCCTGCCTTACAGGCGAGTGCCACCATGTCTGGCTATTGTGCTTCTAAAACAAATGCTTAATCTTTAGAATTAAATGCCATTTTTTTTTTTAGAAAAAGTAGTCAAATTCTGAGTAAGATGAAAGAGAGCTGAAGTTCTGCTTATCTCCAGCTCTTACAGACAACTTTTGCTATAGAAGTGAAGGCAGAACTTCTGGAAAAATAGATACTTGAAAAGGTTACACCAAAAGAAAGACTTGCTGGGCACGGAGGTGCATGCCTATAATCCCAGTGGCTCGGAAAGCTGAGGCAGAATGATCACAAGTTCTAGGCCAGCCTCAGCAACTTAGTGAGACCCTGTTTCAATATAAAAAATAGAAAGGGCTATAAAGTGCTCCTGGTACAAAACAAAACAAAAAATAGACATATTAAGGACAGGAAATGCAACCTCCTATCCACTTCCATATCTATTAGCACTATCCACGATTTTCTAAGACCTCTATAAATAGCAGTAACTTTGATGATTTTCTTTTTAGTACTTAGGGAATTTTACAACAAAGTCCACAATTTTATAATTTGGTCATTCATTTATCCATTCATGTGCTGAGACTCAAACAACGGCCCGATGCATGCCTGGTAAGTACTCTACCACTAATTTATATCCCCATCCCCAATTGGGGCTTTTAAAACTAAGTGACCTTTCTCTTCTCAAAATATTTTTTCTTCTTAATTTCTTAAATGTCACTCTGCTGTTTTCTTTTATCACAAAGACCTCTTCATTTCCCATGCTGGCTACTCTCCTCTTCAACCTTCCTGGGGGCTTCCTTCCCTTCTTTCCCAATGTTTTCCCAGTCACATGCTTTAACTTCCACGTAAATATCAATGATGCCCAAATCTTTACCATATAGTCTTAACTGCTTTGAACTTAAACTTTTAAGTGTCTCGTTAACAGATCTTTTTGTCCAGGAGACATATTTTAAATCACTATAACAACATGCTTTATTTTTGTCTCCAAATCTTGTAGTAGCCACTTTAGTAAACGGCACAATTAATTTGTCACTTTTGCTTAAGTCAAAGCTTTTACCTTCTTTGTTTTAACTTTACTCTCCACATCCAAAGCACGAAGCAAGTCCTACCATCTATGTTCAAAATGTACCTCAAATCCATCCATGCCTGTTCATTTGTGTGTATGTGTGTGTGCTGGGGATTGAACTCAGGGGCACTTGACCACTGAGCCATATCCTCAGCACTATTTTTGTATTTTATTTAATGACAAGGTCTCAAAGTTGCTTAGCATCCCTCTGTTCCTGAGGCTGGCTTTGAACTCATGATCCTCCTGTCTCAGCCTTCCAAGCCACTGGGATAATAGGCGTGCACTATGGCACCTGGCCCAGTTCATTTTTGTCACCCCCCCACATGGTATAAACATTACACTTCACCTGAGTCCACTAGTCTCCACTGGTGAAGTATTTTTTTTTTTTTTTATTGGTTGCTCAAAACATTACAATGATCTTGACATATCATATATCATACATTTGATTCAAATGGGGTATGAATTCTTATTCTGGTTAAGTATTTTAAACTGTAAAGAATTGAGGTTGTTTAAAATTCTCAAAATAATTCTTCACAACATTCTGATTAATATCCAAACACACTAATATATGATATGGCCTGTGTTTCCTTCCCAACCTCATCATATTCTATTCCTCTTTCAGTACTAAGTATAAGCCACATGTACTTTCTTTCATTTTTCTCAAACATTTGAGCCATTTCCTACTATTGGTCCTTAGCTGTTCTCTCTGCCAAGGATATATTTTCCTTTGACTTTCATATGGCTGGCTCGTTCTTATAAATCTGATTTCAGCCTAATTTTACTTTCCTCAGAAATTTTGCTCTGTTTTTTGTAGAGTTGGGAACTAAACCCAGGGCCTCGCACATGATAGGCAAGTGCTTTACCGCTGTGTTATATTTCCAGCCCCTCAGAGGTATTCTTTGGCTCCTTTAGTGCCACAGTATATACAATATAAACTTTTCTCTATCTTATACTTCACTGTATCTCCAAGACCTACAAAAGTGCAAAGAACTGAATAGAAATTCTGAATAAATATATACTAGCCAAAAGAATAAAAAGTGAAAGTGTACAAACACAAACTACAGTTATCCAAAATGAATTTGGTTGTCTTTTGCAGGGGGTGGGGGTGGGGTGGGCAGCGGGTAATGGGAACGGAACCCAGGGATGCTTTACCACTGAGCTACAACCCAGCCTTTTAGTTTTTGAGACCGGGTCTCACTAAGTTGCTTAGGACCTCTCCAAGTTGCTGAAGCTGGCCTCACAGGCATGCACCACCATATATGGCACATGTCTTCAATTAATTAACCAATCTGAAGATAGACCAAAGCAGTCTCTGGCCAAATTATTTCCCCACTCAGGAAAAAAAAGTCTTTCTTATCACTTTGGTCTTTGAAGCACATCAAATATTATTTTTGAATTGTACATTACCAGGGGAACCTTCATACAAAAAAAGCTTTTTCATTTTAAAACCTAGAGAAATTCTGGGAAGAACTTATCCCAGACCTACAAGTGATGCTGTCCTCATTTTTTTTCACCTGTTCCTAAGAAAACAGATTCAGAGGTCAGAGCCCAAACTTCCCACTGAAAGCCCTTAAATTACTTTGCTAATACGGTCTGCATTACTTTTTGAAAAAGTTTCTGTTCACCATTTTCTCTTTGTTGCTCTATTTCTCATTTGGCCCTCTTTCTCCTTTCCTATTTCTCAATTTCTATAATGGCAGAGCTTGTTCTGAAAACCATCAAAAGAATCTTTGGTATTAGTGAGTCATCTATGTTGTAACTTTCCTGTTTATTTTTCATTGCAGATAGTGCTTAGAAAGGCTTTTTCTGTTATTTCAGGTTTGGCAGATCTGGAAGTAACTTACTCTGAAAGACAGGAAATCACCATATTTTCTAAAGCTTAAGAAAGTCAAACAAAAATTTGAGCTTATATTCCTGACAGTAAGACACTGGAACAGAGAAACAGGAGACGTTTGCCACCAGGATATTCTCCCTTTTTTACTAAGTCAACATGATTTTCTCCTACCCATTAAGTACAGCTGCTGAATACCACATCTTTCCCAATAATTTATTTTATTTCAGTAAATCTAATCTTGCTTTAGCACTACTCATTTTATATTAAACCCAAAGAGCTCTGCTGTTGTCATGTAAAAACATAAGAGATACTTGCTGTTGCTTTATCTCGTTCTTCGCTGCTTTTCTTCTTTTTTGCTCGTACCTAAAAAGTCAAAATTTTTGTGAAGACAAACTATGTAATTTGTACTCAATGCATTTTTCTTTCACTCCCTAATGTATCTTCGAAAGTTACGTATAAAAACATTTCAAGGGGCAGGAGTTGTAGCTCAGTTGGTAGAGCATTTGCCTTGCATGGGTGAGGCACTGGGTTTGATCCTCAGCTCCACATAAAAACAAACAAATAAAATAAAAGTATTGTGTCTGTCAACAACTAAAAAAAATTTTAAAAAATGTCAACAATCAAATCATATTTTAAATAACCCATTATATCTCAATGAGGTTTCAATAAAAATATATATAAAAGAAAATTAAGATTTTTTTAAATCTCTGGGGAGGCTTCTCTTATATTCCCTTTTAGCACCTAAAACAATGTGGTACTGTGGGAAAAAAATCTGGAGCTCTCAAAAAACATACCAGGATCTGAATCCCACCTCAGTTTCATCATCCATAAAAAAGGAGGTAGTATCCATTTCCAAGGGGCAATATGTGGAATATAGCATGGTATTTATCTCACTCTATGGTATCAACAAAAGGTATGAAATGATTAAAATTCTTTGAAACAACATTTACTACCCTGTTTACATTTTATTTCCATCTTTTAAAAAGTGGTACACTGGATTTAAATTAAATTGAAAGGTGCTATGAGTTTATGTATATTAAATGTTAAGTCTAAATGTAAGATACGTAATATTAAGCTTTACTTGATATCATATAGGCAGACAGAGGTGATTAATGTAAAATCAGAGTTTTAAAATTGCCTAAATGCTGAATAAGTACATAACACAAGCATATTAAAATGTAGTTAACAACATAAGGAGGCATAAGGACTAAAGGTAGAGGCCATTAGCATTAGAGGCTATTAGCTTGCAAAACTGTGGTAGCTCTCTCTAAAGAATAATTAGGAAATTACTTTTTTGTTAGTATTCTGTCCTTACAATGATGAGCTGGTAAGGTGTACTGTATATACATTTAACAGACAGAGGCAAGGGATGCTCTAATGCAATGTCCAGAAGAGCTCTGTATACGCTATGTGATATTGAATAGTGTACTAATAATTCATGTAATGAATCTGTTTATGATACAGAAAATAAACTGACTGTAAATATAAACACAGAGTATTTTGTTCTGGATTTTAAGCTATAAAGCATGCCCCAGAAATGCAAATATCAGTGAAGAATATTTTACTTCATTCATTGTTGTCATACTTAATCATTTATATATTAAAATATAATTAAAAAAACATAATTACTTTCATTTCTTTATATTTCTTAGGGGATAGTAGTGTAAAAAATAGTGTAGATAATTTATATAAGCTACAAATTTTATTTCAGGGAGCATTACAAAATATTGCTACAACACAGGGACAATAGGTCTGATAGGACTGAGGGCCACTATTAAAAACCAAAGACAATGAAATCAGTAAAGAGATAAGGCACAAACAAAGAGAAGAGAGGTGATGAGAAACAGGATGGATAGAGAAAGACCTGGACAGGGTGTATGCAGGAAGCCAACACAGTAAGGAAGAAATCAGGAAAACCAGTTCCTATGTGAGTGTGCTTTAAACAAAGGGCAAGACCCTCATGTTATACTGTTGAAAGATCAATAAGTTGATCTCTATGGAAAGTTGCAGCTTGAAAAATCAATGACTAGTGAAACCCTAGGTGAGATTTTACAGTTCTATCAAGAATTATGTAGACCTTAGCCACCTTTACCTTAAGGCCTTACCATAAGGCCTTTAATAATTTATTGTCTCACTTAGTTGTCACAATTTAAATAATATGATAAGTTCCTAATTTGCAGATGAGGAAACCAAGGTCAAGAGAGAAACATTTTAAAGATGGTAACTTACTGACCTGAAATTAACTAAAAATGGACTCTAATACTAATAGAGTAAAAAAATCTTAGCAACTGTTAGAGCTGAAAGGGACTGCAGACGACCTAATTCTCCTTTCTTGCTTCACAGATGAGAAAACTGAAGTCATGCCAACAATTTTTCCATACCTTCCTACTCCCCAAATAGTAACTCAGAACAAGAAGTTAGTATGTGCGATATTCTATGGTAACCATGTAAGCAAATGCTGGGTTTCTGGTGTACATTATACAGCCTCTTTAATGTAGTCAGAATGTATACACTAAGAAGATAATATGAGAAAAAAAATAAAAATAAAATATCTCAGATTTGAAAGATGTGTGGAAATATGGTTAATTATCAAAATACTAGTCATATGCAGTTATACTCTGAAAAAAGGTATTCTGAAACTGAATAACTTCCATTTCTCTTACTTACCTCCTCAATATAATCTGATTCTGACAAGGACTCAGATGATAAAGGTTTGTCTTCAGGATACATCTTTCTTTTTTTACTGAATCCTTTAATGTCCTATGAAAAATAAATAACAAGTATCTTAACTCAAAAAAAAAAAAAAAAAAAAAAAAAGATACCACGCCACACAAATTTTATGGTTTCTAAGTTCTAATTAGAAATCCTTCCATTTATCAGAAAATCATTCATTTTTCAATTTAGAAATGTCTAAAAATGATGACATTTACCATGATTTAAATCTTTAATTCCAACAAAGCAATCCTTTTATTAAATAACTTAGAAAGAACTACATATCCATATAGATGCAATATCTTCCCTAATTCCTTAAAATTACACATGACAGAATTTTAAAGCAAATTATCAATTATATAATTGAAAGATTAGTATCCAAAATATATCTTACAACCTAGGAAAGAAAAGAGACTAGGGTTATAACTGGATGGTAGAATGCTTGCTTAGCATATATGAGGTCCTAGGTTCAAAATCCAGCACTGAAAAAAAAAAAAGATTAGGAATAGGCAATACAGAAAAAATGACATTTAAATGTCTAATAAGCAAATGAAGACACTTTCATTTCTTTATACCATCTGTATACCTTACATTGGCAAAAATGAAGTCTCACAGTATCAACAAGTATGTGAGACAAGGGTACTTTCATATACTACTAGCAGGATTGCAAATTAATAACAAGCACTGTTACTGAGCAAAATGTAGACACATTAAATGTATGCATATCCTGTAACCCAGAAATTATAGTTCCCAGGTATATCTGACTTAACAATAAATTGTGAAAAAGGAGAACTGGATAGGAAATATAAACAGTAGAACTGTTTGTAATATTGAAAAATGAAAACAATCTAAACGTTCACCCACGGGAGGAGAAATAAATTGTAGTGAATAATATAAACAAAAAAAATTAACTTAAAGTATCAACAAGGATAAATATCAATAGTAATGCTCAGTTAAAAAAGCAAGCTTCAGAAGGAAACAATGACATCATTTTGAAAAACTCCACAATGTTATTTATGGTTTCTTTCCTTTGATCAGTTAATATGCTCAATAAGGATTAACTACAGATAAGTCATGCCGGGTGTGTGCCCAAAGTCCCAACTAATCAGTGAGCTGAGGGCAGGAAAATCACTTGAGATCAGGAGTTTAGGGCCAGGCTAGGCAATATTGTGAGATCAGTCTCTTTGGACAAAAAAGAAAACAAAATTATAGGTAAGTCACATATGAAGATAAAATATGTTCTGATAAAATAAAAGATTTTCAAACTTTACCTATGGTATATTCAATCTGAAAGGTTTTTATTTTTATATTTAAATGGCCTTAAAATGTCTTGAAGAAGCAAAGGAAATGTTTAATCTCTATTTTAAATATGACGTGACCCATTAATCTATCCAAATTCAAACTCTTCAGGATACTCTTCTGCTGGTCCTTAATAGTGAATTCAAATTAAAACATTTCTTTATATCAACATGAAATACCATAAAAGCAAAAGAAATAAATCTTCTGGAGGCTGGAGATGTGGCTCAAGTGGTAGCACGCTCACCTAGCATGCGTGAGGCAGTGGGTTCAATTCTCAGTACCACATAAAAATAAAAAAAGATATTAAAAAAATCTTCTGATTTATTAACTAAATTTCCTGTTATTTTTTAAATTTATTTTTTAGTTGTAGTTGAACACAAAATCTTTATTTTATTCTCATATTTTTATGTGGGCTGAGGATCGAACCCAGGGTCTTGCAGGTGAAAGGGAAGCACTCTACCGCTGAGCCACAACCCCAGCCCAAAATTTCCTGTTATTAACTAACGCTATTGTTAATATTACTGTTAATTTCCTTTTTTTTTTTTTTTTTTTTTGTAGCAGGGATCAAACCCAGGGGTTTCTAACCATGGTCTCACTAAGTTGCTCAGGGCCTCACTAAGTTACTGAGGCAGGTTTTGAACTTGTGATCCTCCTGCCTTAGCCTCCTAAGCCACTGGGATTACATATGTGCGCCACCATGCTCAGCTACTGTTGATTTCCTGAGGTTAAGGTTGTGCACAACAGAGTGTCTTAAGGCAATATGAAAATATAGTTACCTTTTCTTTTTCAGTTGCATCCTTTGATTTCTTTTTCTTTTTCAAACTATCCTAAACAAATAAAAAAATATATATCTGTAAATATATATCAATTTTAAATGCCAAAGATAGAATAAGGACATTATAGAATAAGGACAAAAAAAATGATTTGCTCTATGAGTAAAAAAAAAATTTACTCCAATATCAGCATATTATCCTGAAAACAAAAGAAAAATCTCCATTACATAGACAGTTGCTTGGAAGCAGAATAGGATGTTTAATTTATCTGGTTATATATCAAATCTAAGAACCCTTAAAATTATCTGAAATAATCTTTGTCTATGATGGTCACATATGTTGTAGTTCTAATTCACCCTGTGCTCATATATCCATCAACCTGATCTGCCACCCACTTTCTTCATCAGGAGTGGAGGCAAGAATTTCTTTTTTTTATACTGGGGATTGAACTCAAGGGCACTCAACCACTGAATCACATCCGCAGCCCTCTGTGTATTTTATTTAGAGACAGGGTCTCACTGAGTTGCTTACGGCCTCATTAAGTTGCTGAGGCTGGCTTTGAACCTGCAATCCTCCTATTTCAGCCTCCTGAGCTGCTGGGATTACAGGGGTGTGCCATCACACCCAGCCAAGAATTTCTGCTTTTTTTTTTTTTTTTTTTTTTTTAAAAGCAGAAGACTCTTCTTTTTAGAGAGAGAGAGAGAGAGAGAGAGAGAGAGAGAGAGAATTTTTTAATATTTATTTTTCAGTTTTTGGCAGACATGACATCTTTGTATGTGGTGCTGAGGATCAAACCCGGGCCGCACGCATGCCAGGCGAGCGCGCTACTGCTTGAGCCACATCCCCAGCCCGAATTTCTGCTTTTAATCCCTTAGATTTTTCTATTAGCGTCTCTAATTCTCAGTTTTCTTATTCATAAAGTTGATTAACAAATAACTACTCTCTAGGATTGTTGAGATTAAAGAAGGTAAAAGTCAAACACTATGTGCTTAACACATACTGCACATTTAATTTAATGTTAACTATCACTAATAAGACTGCTGCTTTAATAGACAAATAAGAAACCAACACTGAGTACTTTTTAGACATCAGGCTTTTTGCCAGAAGAAATCTCACTGGGACAAAAAGAAACTTTTTATAAAATTCAAACTGTTGCTTCAGTTTCCTGAGACTGTAGTATGCTGTTTGTCAAATTATGGTTCATGGGCATCACAGTCATATAAGGCATCTGTTAAAATATAGATTTACTAATCAAACTCTGGGGGGGAAAAAAAAAAAAACCTTCTGGAAATAAAGCCCAGGAATCAAGTTTTTCTCTTAGTGCTAAGAACTGAACTCATGCGTACTAAGGAAAAGCTTTACACCTAACCTATGCCCCTAGTCCCCAGAATCAATATTTTTATAGAAAATCTCATGCCTTTTTAAAAAAGATCTCTAAAGTTGAAGAGCCAGTTGTGCCTCACAATTCTGGTTAATACAGAACAAATTCAGGTACAGTACAGAAGAAAGGATGTTGGAACAGATATTAGAAGACACTGATTCAAATTCCAATTCTAACACTAGTGAATTTAATCAGAACCTTACCCCTCCTCTGAATTACAATTTATTTATGAATATAGGGAAATAATGTTATAGAGATGTAGAGACATGGAAACATAAAAGTTTGGAGAATTACTAAATGCTACATGTGTTAGTAAGTAAATCAGTTAAATGTCATAGGATCAAATGGTATTTCATTTCTTAAGAGCAATTTAAGACAGGAAGAACTAAAAGAAAAACTTAATGTTTCTGTTACAAAAATGTTAATAATTTAAATAATAATAATTTACCTTACTGTCTGATTCAGTTTCTGAAGTAGAGCTTTCAGAAGATTTATGAGAACGGTTCTTCTTTTTCTTTCTCCGTTTTGCTTGTTTCTTATCCTATAGAAAACATTTGCTTTGTTTCAGAAATATAATTTATGCATTTAACTAATATCAAAATTTTCTTAATGAACAACACTTAATAAGACTGGCTTGTAAATATTTTTCTTTAATATTCACAACGTAACATCACTTTCCTGTTTTACAAAGTCAAAGTCAAATGATTTGAATCACATGTAATCCCTAGCACTTAGTCAAATAGGATTTTGGATTTTTCAAATCTTTTTCTACTGATATTTTTATATGAACAAATTAAAAAAAAATTTTTAAAAATACTAATATTTAAATGTTTTATTTCACTTATTGTGCTCTACCTTATAATTAATCAAAACCTGGAAATAAACATTTCTAACAGATATTTCAATAGGTTTCTCCTCTTGAAATTAAAAAGTTAGAGATATTATTTGATGAACTATTACAAGCAATCCTTACCTCATCTTCAGAATCTGAAGAACTGCTGGAAGAATCAGAGCTTGATGAAGAAGAAGATGAATACTTGACCAAGCACAAAACAATTAAAGCTTGTGAGATGCGGGAATTTTTTTCCTTTGCTAAGTCTCTGAAAGTACTTAGTGAAATCAATCTAGTGTCTGAGAAACAGATGCCATATTCATAAGATTTAAACATTAAAATATAAAAGCCATCACCCCCCACAAAAAGTGACAATAAGTTGTCAATTGTGCTCTTTAAATCATAACAAAGGAGTTAACTAGGTTATAAGGAGATTGGCATCTTTCCGAACACTCTAATCATAGCAACCACACTGCTTGACCCATATAGAGTCTAAGTTACTTTTAGTATACAGGTTTAAATATATTATTCTTACTTTTTTTCCAGACTCTTTATTTATAACATTTAGAAAAATAGAAAACTTTTGCTCACCCTACCAGATTTCTTCTTTTCTTTTTTCTTTCTCTAAATGGAAACAAACAGAGATCTAAATAAGTTTTCAAATGCATCTATTAATAGCAATATACAGCATTAATGTGAAAACTGAATTAAGATTAAGAATAGCAATAAGCTAAAAATGTACTACCTGTCTTTTTTTTGATGAGCTCTCGTTTCCACTTAATAATTTCTCCCTGTGTTTTTCTAGTTCTTTCTTCCAATTCTGCAAGAAGGTTATAAACACGATAAGAGTCTATCAATCCAGTACTAATATACTTAGTAGAGAGAGACAACCGTTATTTCCTTTCCTTCATCTTCTAATACTTCTCTCCACCTCAGCTTCTAATTATACAAGGTAGGTCTGGTGGCCATATGTCTGTAGTCCCATGTTGAGAGCCATGTGTGGGCTGTGTGTGGACTGTGTTATGCATCGTAGCCTAGTGAATAGGAAAATCTGGTGTATGGGAATTTCCAGTGGACATTTCCTTTGTGTAAGATTGCCCAGAGACACTGTGAATTCCTATATTGCTCTGCCATGTCCCACACAGCATCAGAGATGGGGTGACCTGCCAAGATGCCAATCAACCTGCTGACTGCAAGACAACAAAAGCAAGACTCTACCCTTGAAACCTTACCCCTGCCTTTGATGTATCCCCTTAAATTAAACCACGGGAGCCATTTTCTAATTGTTCAGCTCCAGCTTCTGAGTGGGCTAGACCTATCAGGAATTCCCCTTTTGAAACTCTCTCTCCAACTCTGTCTTTTGTTCTTCACTAATTATTCTAGACTTTAATTTCTCAGGTGGCTTATGCTCTCCTTGGCAGGAAGAAGAACTCCCAAACTAGGAGCTGGATACCTCTCCACGGTCCCACCTACTTGGGAGACTAAGGCAGAAGGATCATCTGAGACCAAGAGTTTAAGGGCAGCTGGGCAACAAAAAGGTTCAGGGGCCAACCCTTGACCCTATTACCAAGGGTGTCTTTTAGCTCATTTTGAAGAGAATATTAAGGTGTGGGAGTTTCCACAGAATACTGAGAGGAAGAAAAGATATTTTTACTGAGACTAAGGCTTGGTTTAAACAAGGATGGCTACGGTAAAAGCTGAATTAATCTGTACTATGGTTGAAATACTACATACATGTTTGTAATCAAAGCAAGCAAACATCACTATAAAATTCCTAAGATGGGGAGCACAGAGGGAGGAAAGAACTAAAGCTCAGATAACTTAGATGATTTATGTTACTACAAGATGGTTATTCTTATTTAAAGAGAATACACATTTAAATATGAAACTGTAAAAAATAACACTAAACTATAGTCCCCTTAACCTAAAGAGGTATCCCCAAACCCTTGATTAAAAAAGAAGCAAATATGATTTCATTTTTGTTATAAGGAAAAAAAAATTGGTCTATTTCTTTAAAACGTACTATTTACAAACCTCATTCATCTTCTCCTCAAATTCAGCTAAAGCCTTGGAGCCTTTCTTTTTCTTTTCTAGTTGCTCTTTCACTTCTTCCCTTAAAAAAATAAAGTACAAATAAAATTTCAAGCACTTCAAATTAGATGGAGGCTTATAAAAAAGACAATAAAAATTCAAATAAAATTTTAATATTCTAATATACCTACATCCCAGTACTGTTAAATTTCAAACTTCTTTGTTCACATCCAGGTAAAGAATCATAATAAAATCTATCAGATACTACTAATCTCTCCACCTCTAAACATGGATTTTAAGACTCAACACACCAAATCTCTGAGCACTTACATAAACAGGAACTGTTTATATTTTCATTTAATCCTCACGACAATCCAATAAAAAAAAGGTAGTATGTATTTCCACTTACAGAAAAAGATAAACTAAAACTTGAAGAAAGTAAAAAACTTACCTAAGGTCAGAAAACTGATAGATTCAGTGTCAGGGGGAGGTAAGGTCTATATGACTAAACTACTATATTCTATTAATAGATCTCCAAACTTATAATGTGCCTGACATATTTGCAGAGAAGAGTCAATATAGCATGACCAATTGCTTATTCTAACAAAGGCAAGCTTCCAGGGTTGGCCAGAAGTGAACACATGAGAACTTGGATTTTGGAGGTTCCTACCATTCCCTGATTACAAGTAGCTTACTCTGCCTAAACGTTTGTATAACCAACATAGTTTAGGCAGAGTATCTGCTTTCCTTCTGGGAATCTGGAATTTTGGAATGTGACAGGCAGATTCAGGTTGGAATTTTGGAACATGAAAGGCAAAGTCTGATCAGTCCACAGAAAAAACCCAGGGCACTAACGAGCCTCCTTAGTTAACATCTCACATGTATTGTCACACTCCTTTCAAAAAGATTTAAGTACATCTTATATGATTCCATTAGGTAAGGACCCTTGGAAGTCTGTGCCTGATTTCTCCTGGATTTTGTCCTACATGCCTCTTCACTTTGTTGATTGTACCTGGTATCCTTTCAGTGTAATAAATCTTACCTTGAGTATACTACCGGTTGCAAGTCTTCCTACCAATGACTCACTTGAAGGTTGTCTTAAAGACCTCTGACCACAGAGAATACACTACCTTGAGCATTTCCCCCTTGAAGTTCCTTTCATTTTAAAAGTAAAATGCACTGTTCATACTAGTGCACGCAGTAGGAGATAAATAAGACTTTCATTTAACTCAAAAGTATTCCCTACTACATAAAACATACCTTTCAGCCGTAGCTGCCTAGCTTTCAGGGCACTCTGAAATTCTGAAGGATTCTGAAGCTAATGGCTCCGACTTGTCATGTGTTACTTCAGGAGCATGGTATTAATAATAAGGAAAGATATAACTAAAAATAGTAAGGTCTGTGGTATAATGCTTTACTCGGTAGGGGCTGGGGTTGTAGTTCAGAGGAAAGAGCACTCTCCTGACATGCGTGAAGCACTGGGTTCGATCCTCAGCACTACATAAAAATAAAAATAAAATATTGTGTTCATCTACAATTAAAAAATACATGTTTAACATAAAAAAAATCAGAGCTACTCAGTGAGTTGTTGTTTTTTTAATTACTGAAAAGTCAGAAGATGAAACTAGAAATAAAGCTGAACATTATCCTTCCTAAAACTTGGCATGATTATTCAAATCCACTATTTTTAAGTTAGGATACCACAAAGTTAAATAGTCTTTTAAGGGATAGAGAAAAGATTGATTGAAAATGTGATATGGTAGTGCTTTAGTTATACTGGGTGGTGGATTCAATAAAATGCTGTTTTGCAGTTTTGCATGTGTTTCATACATTCAAAAGAAGGGACATGTCAAATATTACTTAAAAAAACCCACTTACCTGGCAATCAATAAAAGTTATAAGAATAAAATTTTAAAATTTATCAAAACCTTATAAAAAGGTAAACTGTTGCACAATTACCAGGTAGGCCTTGGTCGGTTCAGATAATCCTGGATTGTTGGCCCTGAAGACTGGATTGGACCCCTTGATCTGGCCATTGCTATTGGATTCATGTAAGCCTTGAGGAAAGAACACAAATTAGTTCCCTTAAAATAACCATTAAAAATATAAAAGCTCACTTACATCTCTAGTTCCATTAAAATAACCATTAAAAACGTAAAAGCTCACTTACATCAAGTAACCTTTATTATAAATGCATACTATATCCAACTAAGCAATCTAACAAACTTCTTTTTTTTTAATATTTATTTTTTAGTTTTCGGCAGACACAACATCTTTGTTTGTATGTGGTGCTGAGGTTCGAACCCGGGCCGCACGCATGCAGGTGAGCGCACTAACGCTTGAGCCACATCCCCAGCCCAATCTAACAAACTTCTAACTATCAAAATTAAATTTAATCTTCCATTAAGTCTTGAAAGTTTATGAAGTAGGTAACATTTCGTAGAAAACATGTTGTTTTACCAGGGAGTTGATGAAATAATGATACCTCTTACCTACTGATGGCTTTATAATATTTCCTTCTAAGGCCCAATAACCCAGTGAAAGTAATAAACACTAAGCTCATTAACAAACTAAGAAACTCAATTCCAAATTAGGTGTAGTAACACATGCCTATAGTCCTAATGACTCAGTAGACTGAGGCAGGAGGATTCCAAATTTGAGGCCAGCCTCAGCAACTTATCAAGACCCAGTCTCCAAAAAAAGAGAGATCTAAGTCTAAATTTACTGTTCCTTCTACTATTCCAGGAAATACTGTACTATACCGATGGAAATTTTATTTGCCAACTGCAAACATAACAATTTAAGTTGCACCCAGACAACAACAACAAAAAAATTGGACTTCATAAAAATTTTAAATATGTGCATTGAGTGTGGCTGTGCATGCCTGTTATCCCAGCAACTCTGGAGGCTGAGGCAGGAGGGTTGCAAATTCCAGGTCAGCCCAAGCAATTTAGTGAGAACCCTTTTCAAAATAAAAGAGGGCTGGGATGTAGCTCAGTGGTAGAGTGCACATGGGTTCAATCCCCGGAACTGCAAAAAAGTGCTCATGCATCAAAGAACATTTCAAAAGAGTAAAAAGATAACTCAAAAGAGAAAATATTTGCAAATATAATAGAGATGAATATCCAAAGTGAATAGAGCTATGACAACTTAATAAAAACTCAAATAACCCAATTCAAAAATGGGCATAGGACTTGATTATCTTCTTCAGACATACAGAAAATTGCCAGTAAACACATGATAAAATGTTTAACATCGTTAGTCTTCAGAGAAATACTAATAAAATCACTAAAACATGGCATCTCACAAGCATTAGGATTTCTGTTTTAAAAAAAGTCATAAGGGTGAAGAAAGTGTGGAGAAACTGGCACTGTTGTGTACAATGAACAGGAAATAAATGGTCCAGCTGCTGTGGAAAACAATTTGGTGGCTTTTCAGAAAGTTAAACCTAGAACTACTGTCTGATTCACCAATTCCACTTCAAAGTATAAAATTACTCCCAAAGAATTGAAAGCAGGGACTCAAAGGTGAAATCAGCAAAAGGCTACCTAGAGATGAGTGGACAAACAAAATGTGTCTTTTATACACACACACACACACACACACACACACGCACACACACACACACACACAAATTTAGCTTTATAAAGGAATGAGATGCTAATAAATACAACTTGGATGAGCCTTGAAAACATTATGCTAAGTGAAATCAGATAACTGCAAAAAGAAACAAACATGATTTCCTTTATATGAGGAATCTGGAGAAGAGGAGTTTGGGAGTTTTGTTTTGTATGTTTTCTTGTAGTACTGGGGATTGAAGCCAGGGGTGCTCTACCACCGAGCTACACCACTGGCACTTTAATGCCACTTAACTATACACTTAAATAATGGGTTATTAGAACAAATTAAAAAATAAAATTTTTTAAAAAATGGTTAAAATATTTTGGCTTAAAAAAAAAAAAAACAACCTACAGGGGGCTGGGATTGTGGCTCAGTAGTAGAGCGCTTATCTAGCACATGTGAGGCACGAGGTTTGATCCTCAGCACCATATAAAAATAAATAAACAAAATAAAGATATTGTGTCCATCTACAACTTATATATTTAAAAAACCACAAAAATTCTCAACTGTATTCTTTCTATATTATACTTACTGTGACAGAAAAACACTTTATAGAGATTTTGTTTTTTCTAAACACAGAGACAAAGTAGAGAAAAAAGTTTCTCTGTGAATGAGGATGTCTATCAGAGAGATGTTGTTTTATAAAAATTCACTTTGCTACACACATAAAGTCTGATTTTTAATTCAGTCTCAAACTCTTCTTTATCATTATATTCAATTTCTCCAAAATTATTTAGTCAATATTTATAAAATTCTTCTAGTTTTTAAATAAAAAGAATTCTTGTTCAAAGTGACTACTATTAAGTTTGATTTTAAGGTCCTACTACTAATACCTAACATTCTAAAAGGAATAACAAAGGTAACAATGATTCTGTTGCATTTCATTTATCAAAATATATAAATGACAAACATTTTCACCTTTATAACAAATATAAATATACCTCCAGATTTTTCTGGTAGAGTGAACAACTACTTACATTCAATTGATAGGCTCTGAGCCTAATTACTTGGGATGAAAAACAAACCTTTGACATAATTTTCCTACAAGTAATGTCAGGCATTCCCAATGTCAAAGATGTTTAGAGAATCAGGGAAGGATGTGAATACCTAATGGTAGAGACATGTAGTTTTAAAAAAATATATAACCCTCAAATATTTCATTAAAACTGAAACAGAGGAATTATCAGCCTAAATAACAACACTGAATCCTAATAAGAGTACAACATGAAGGCTGGGGTTGTGGCTCAGTGGTAGAGCGCTCCCATAGGATGTGTGAGGCCCTGGGTTCAATCTTCAGCACCACATATAAATAAATAAAATGAAAGTATTGTGTCCACCTACAACTAAAAAAAAATACATTTTTAAAAAAGTGCAATGTGCAAGTTCATCATTTATAAAATAGGAATATTATTCACATCTATCACCTTCTTTCTTTGGTGATGTCATAATTTTAGTTGTAACTAATGGCAAAATATTTAAGTTTAAAACTATAAAACTTGTTTATTTCCAGAGTACAAATACATAGGATGTTCACTAAATTACTACAACAGCAAAAACTAAAAACACCCAACCCACCATCCAACTGGGACTCATTAAATATATTAAAGTATACTCCCAGGGGCTGGGGTTGTGGCTCAGTGGTAGAGTGCTCACCTAGCACAGGCGAAGCCCTGGGTTCGATCCTCAGGACCACATAAAAATAAATAAATAAATCAATTAAAGATATTGTATCCAACTATAACTAAAAAATAAATATTATATGACAAGATGTCTCCAAGATTTCCCTAGAGTAAAAGCAAGCTGCCAAAAATAGATAACACTTTAAAAAATAACTACAAATACTTAAAAAAAAATCCGAATGCACCACAATGTGAAGCGAGACCTCCCTTTTCACCACTTATGTAACTCATTACCTTATAAATGAGAAAAATATATATACAAACATTCTTTCTTTGGGGGGGTTGGTAGGTGGGAGGTACCAGAGATTGAACTCAGGAGCACCCAACCATTGAGCCACATCCCCAGCCCTATTTTGTATTTTATTTAGAGACAAGACCTCATTGAGTTGCTTAGAGCCTCACAGTTGCTGAGGGTGGCTCTGAACTTCTTTGATCCTCCTGCCTCAGCTTCCTGAGTCACTGGGATTATAGGCATGAGCCACCGCACCTGGCCAAATATTCTTTTTTTTTTTTTTTTAGTTATAATCCTAATACCTTTATTTTATTTATTTTTATGTGGTGCTGAGGATCGAACCCAGGGCCTTGCACGTGTTAGGCAAGTGCTGAGCCACAACCCCAGCCCCTTTGAGTACAAACGTAATCAAAATGAGAAAAATTCAACCAAAATACTGTCACTCCAATTCAGATAGATGAACTATAATGTATAAAAATTCACAAATGGTAGAGTGGCAATTTTTCATTTTCATTAAAAAAATCATAATATCCACCACATATTACAATCTTCAAAAATTTTAACATATCTTAAAATCATATTGACATTTTTCTGTGTCTTAATGTCAATTGCCAAGCAGCTTTCCTAAAGTCCATACCAACCTATTTTTTAATTTTATTTTTATTAAATTAATTTACTTATATGACAGCAGAATGCATTACAATTCTTATTACACAAATACAGCACAATTTTTCATATCTCTGGTTGTATACAAAACAATTCGTGTCTTTATATATGTACTTTGGATAATAACGTCCAACACATTCCACCATCATTTCTAACCCCATAACCCTATTTTTTTAGTTCAGAGGAAAATAATAGTAACGTAATATACTCATATGCTACTAATTATAGGCAATTTAAAGTATAATCATATGAGCTACTATTGAAGTAGTTAGGCTTACGTTTAAGCTTTTGACCAAAAATATTATCCTTAGTCTACTTAAATACAAGCTAAATACCTTAATTATTTAGTTCAATTAAAATAGTGATATTTAAAAAGTAAATCTTATGTGCTAGGTTCCATGCAAAACACTTAATACTTTACTTTATTGTTTTTTTAAAAAAATACTTTTAATTGTAGATGGACACTATTTATTTATTTATTTATTTATGGATGGTGCTGAGGATCGAACCCAGTGCCTCCTCACACATGCTAGGCAAGCACTTTACCACTGAGCAACAGCCCTTGCCCAATACTTTGTTCTTTAAATCACCAAGGATCAATTCTTTTACTATGCATCCCAAAAAGTATAAAAATAATAAAAATATAAAAATTGTGCAGTTTCTTGTACTTGACTACTGCACCACACACATGCCCAGCCCTATTTTTTGTATTTTATTTAGAGACAAGGTCTCACTGAATTGTTTAGTACCTTGCTTTTGTTGAGGCTGGCTCTGAACTCGTGATCCTCCTACCTCAGCCTCCTGAGCCACTGGGATTATAGGCCTGTGGCACATGTGAAACCAGAAGGGCAAATTGGGCTCAAAGGGATATTTATTTGGACAGGTATTTGAAAAGAGTAATGTGGTATAACTACTAAAGACACAGTGTACAGAATTTAATTTGTTAGTTTCACTACCTATTTTTATCTATAAGATACATCTATTTTAGAGGGCACAAACAGAAAAAAAAAAAAAAAGAAGAAATCTTCCAGAAAACAAAAGGCATAAAGGGTGGCCATCATGAACTTAAGAGCCCTTTAGAGATCCCAAGAATTAAAATGTCTATTTTAACAGACTGTTGAAGAATGTACACAGAGAGAATCCTAATGTAAACTCTTGACTCTGAGTGATCATGATGGGTTAACATAAGTTCATCAATTTTAACAAATGTACTCTGGTGCCAGATGTTGATAATGGGGGAGTCTGTACATGTGTGGGAGTATAAGGGAACTCTCTGTACTTTCTGTTCAATTGTGCTGTTAACCTAAAATTGCTCTAAAAAATAAAGTCTATTTTTAAAAAATTGTTCAACCTGAAATTTAATGGAGTTTTGTGGGAAAATAGCCCTATAATCTATAAAATTATGATATTATCATCAAAGAAAGAATGAACCTGAATTGTTTTCAAGATAATCAAATGTATAACACCAAGAGTGAGTGGACCCTAATTCAAACTACTGACTTTGGTTGACAATGATATGTTAGAGTAGGTCATCAATTAGAACAAATAGAGGGGATGTTGATAATGGGGAGGTTATGTATGTGTGTAAGCAGAAATTTTGCTGTGAATCTAAAAATGTTTTTTAAAAAAGTCTTAAAAACAAAAATGGGTCACATGACCCAAGTTTAACCAGTCCCAGTTGAACCAGTCCTATCCCTTTCTCTGTGCAATAAGTTGACTGAATTAGACTATATGTGTTTTCTGCCTCTTAATTTCATGTTTTTATTCTCATAATCTTTGAAGTACAAATAAAATGTTACCAGAACATTCTGTGCCATGATAGCACACAAAAAAGTGCGCAGTTGTTATCAAAATGCTCTAGTAAATGAATCTAATTTGGTTAAGTTTTTCAATGCTTTAAAACCAAAATTTTCCTCCCAGTAAAATGAAACACTTTAGGTCTCTATAAAAAAAACTGCAGCCAAAGTCAGATGATTTCTAAGTTCAAGGCCCAAGAACATTAAAAGAGTCCAAACATTTCAACATCTCAAACCTAAGTTTGATGCCTGGCACAACACCGTTTCAACTACGGTCATCAAGACACTACAGCAAAGTCTTGCAGTCAGGAAAAAAGAATATTCTTCAACTTTATAATCAAGGTTCACTACCTCAGTGGTTCCTAGATATTTTCAATTACAGACTACATAAAACAAACGCTTTTAAGTAAGTTGGGAAATGTCATTTCATAACAGTGAGGCTCTTTTAGCACATACACAAACACTCCCGCAAATAATTGTTAAAAAAAAAAAACCCAAACCTAGAACGTAGTACATTAGCTTTATATTTTCCTCATTTTGCTAATCAATGATTAAAATTCTGTAATACACAAGCCCAAGAATCACCAGGCTACAACCCATTCTTATACGCTATTCTCTCAGGTTTACTGCTCATCCAACCTGATTCAGAACCTGGGCTTTTGAAACCAATCCGCAGCCCTTCTGCACCTCCAGCGATTTGAATGCTTTCCTTGTCCAAAGTATCTTCTCTTTGGAATGCCCTGAGAATCTCAAACATCTATCAGGTATCATTTATTACTACTCCTGCTATGGATTACTTAATCCTTTTCTCACTGAGTGGTAATCTTCATGCCACACACTCTCTTGGGCATCATGCTTTTTGTGGTCCTAACTATTCTGCGAGACTGTGGGTAACAATGATCCCCTTTTATAACAGGTTCAGGGGGGAAAAGTAACCTAAGTCACCTAATTCCCGAAGTACCAAAACTGGCATTGAACTCTGCTCAGAACTCCACAGCCAACTATTTCCACGCCACACATCCCTTTTGCTGGCGCCAGACAGTATGCGATCGAATGCTGCGACCCCCAGTTCTCAAATGCTAGCCCATCCGTAGCTAAAGCCTGGCGCGCTGCTGGCCCCCGGGTGCAGAAGCCATCTCCTAGGCCTAAGCGCCGAGCTGGGCTGCGCGATCCAGAGGAACGGGAGAGTCCCGGAGCCTCCACGAGCCTCAGAGTTCGGAATTACAGACAGAAAAGGGCAGATTTCCCCTGAGTCTTTGCGACTGTAAAAAGTGGGCACTGCTGGCGCGGGAGCGGGAGGAAAGGGAGCTAGGGAGCAGTGCCAGAGGGAGCGGCGGGGTGGGGGACAAAAGGGAGGGCCGGGGAGAAAGTTGGGGACCCGAAGGCGCCAACTGTGTGCCTGGCGCACGCGCGTCTGGGATGGCGGAGGGTGCTAGGTCTCGCGGCCCCAGGTCCAAGCGTAGCCGCTAGCCCTCCCGCCGAGCCGGAAAGGGCGAGAAGACGGGCTTTCCTGCCGCCCGGCCCCCAGTCACCCCACTGTTTACCCCGCCGAGTACTCACCACTCGATTGTCCCGCTTCCCCATGGTGCCGGTCGGAGCGCACAGTGAAGACGCCAAGAGAGACCAGGCCAGCGGAGCAGCCGAAGCGGGCCCGCCGCGGGTCCTATGGACGGCTTCCCTCCCCATCCAAAGAGCGGCGCCGCGCGAACCGACAGCTGCTTTCGGCCACAGCGCCCACTTCCGCCGCGGAGGATATGCAGGCGCCAGCGATCTCCTGCGCTTCCCAAGGATCTGCTGGGGGATTCCGGTAGCTTTCACCCACTAGGTGTGGGGCGGACCCTGCGCGTCTGTATGGCGGTCTCCCCGAGGCAGCTCGTTTCCGTCTGGACTTGGATTGTTTTGTTTTCTTCCAATCTTTATGTGTTGAAATATTCATTCTAGGGGATATAAAATTAGCCCAACGCTTATTGTGTGGTTGACATGGTGCAGGTGCTGGGGATAAAGTGAGGGCCCACTGGTTGCTCAGAGTCCATCAGCTGCTGGAGGAGAAAGACAACACTGTCACAGATGTTGCTAACGAAATCGCCCTATAAATTCAATTTCATTCATCCATCATCCATGCATTCCTTTCACACTAATTTTCCATCATCTACTTTTCACTAGCTAGGTGTCCTAAGCTGGAGCTGGGACCAAACACAAAGACAATTAAGACACAATCTCTGCTTTCAAGCAGCGTGGTTATAAACAGGTAAGGGAGATAAACACATATAGGACCAACTTACTGCGCGATCCTCTGAGCGATCCAGAGGAACAGGAGATGTGCCATAATATTGTTAGCACAGCACTGTAGCTTCAAGGGAGACGATCTAGGCTCCAGAGAAGGGTACTACGTATTAAGTATTGGATATTACTACATATTAAGTCTTGGATAAAATGGCTCCTTAGGTTTCATGTCAGCAAAGAGTATTAGGAAGTAACTGAAAATCAATTAGGATCCTTTCTGGACTCTTGGAAAATGGCATAAGGGGACTTATTTTCATTACATTCACTAAAAGGCTTTCAAATCATCTTTTCCACTCTGGCTCTCTCCCTCTCTCTCTTATATTGCATTGTAGAACAGATGTTTCCAACTCCTACTTTCTTTCTCAAAACTTTCCCCAAACTCTCTCAAATGCAGTCTTTGGCAGTTCTCCCTATTCCACTGGAGTAGCCCACTTTGCTTCCTAGTGCAGATCAGGCCTATGGTCTTCATTTGTCTAACTCCATTAGCAGATGTAAGCTGAGGACTCTGACCAAAGACACACTTTTCTTTCTGCACAAGAAGGAGAGGAGAATCTTCGAATATTAAATTCTTCTTTACTCATGGCTCATTTATATTGTTTTTCTATTCTAGCATTTGGCAGATATTATTTCCAGCATTTCAACCTGAGAGCATGATAATACATGTAGGAGAAAACTTTTTCCCTTCTAAGCTCCTTCTTACTTTTCACTTTCTTGCCCTTTGATTAGTTTTGTGGATACAGAGGTTTTTAAAACATATAATGATGCTATTAGTTAACACAAAATTTTGTGTTTCCTTTACATAGATCCCCTCTGGCAAGGTACTTAGCCCCTCCTGGATAGAGCATGGATTCCAGGGGAGGAAAGAGAAAGAGGAAAATGACTGAAGAGCCATGGAGATAATTAAGGCTTCAGCAGTTGATAAAGTCTAGATCAGACCAAATCTTCTCAAGATATACCTCACATCCACTCAATGGGAAGAATTGTTTACACATCTTTTTATACCTGTGATCTGTGAATAAACACTTTCCTTTTAGCAATGAACTTACACGATCTCTCAAATATTCTGGGTGTAATGAAGAGATTGCACATGAGAAAAACTGGGGCTTAGAGCAACCAAATAATTTGCTCCAGGTCCCACAGCAAGAAAGCAGGGAAGCTGGGGACCAAATGCACATGATTAAACATGAAAACATGAAAGCATGTGCTTTCCTTACAGCATCAGGCTGTAAGGCTACCTTCAGAAGTGGAAGGGGTAAGGAACCCAGGAGGATTGAGAAGCGGTATTTCAGGTGGCCTGTGATCCTTGGCCAACTTCTCACAGAAAAATGGAGAGGGAAGGACACTCCAAACAGAGGGAACTGCCTGGGTAGAAGGAGAGGGGATGCAGCCAGGTGTGGTAACATGGAACACCTGTGGTAGAGATGAAGCAAGACTGGAAAAGTCCCTGGAGATGGAGGAAAAGGACCTAGAATGCCAGGGGAATAAGCTTTACTTTATTGTGCAGGCAAAACTTTTTTATTTTGTTTTTTATTTTTTTATTAGTTGTTCAAAACATTACATAGCTCTTGATATATTATATTTCATACATTTGATTCAAGTGGGTTATGAACTCCCATTTTTCCCCTGTATACAGATTGCAGAATCACATTGGTTACACATCCACGTTTTTACATACTGCCATACTAGTGTCTGTGGGAGCAGCGCGGTGTGTGTGTGTGTGTGTGTGTGTGTAACAATACAAGGATGAAAGGCAAAACTGTAAATAGTAACAATGCTAATAAGCCTTTAGGGTAGAAATTTTCAACTGGAATAATATTCAACTAATATGTTATTAAATTTGTATTAAATTTAATAACATATTAGTTGATTTTCCTCTATTTCTCATTATTGTGTGGGCATTTCAGAATCTCAACAATGGAGAGAAGCACAGAAACCTAATCCATGAACACAGTGTCTGATGTTGGCATGTCCCTAGACTGGAAATAGAAGCATGAAGCTTTCATGTTTGAAGACCCATTGTAGCAAGTTCAATAACCATTATATAAAGGATTTGGTTAATGGATGGTGCATCCATGCAATGCCAAACTAGGCAGATATTGAAAAAGTAATGTAGAGCCAGCCATATGTGTTGATATGGAAAATTGACCACTATGCATTATTGAGAGAAAAAGAGGATTATAAAACAGTTTATAGATTATGATAACTTATGTATAAACAAGAGGATGTATTAGTTGGCATTATGAAATTGCAGATATTCAGCAATTTCTAACCAACAAGATGGGAGATTTCATATTGTTCAGCTTGAGTATGTGTAGGAAACTATTGAATATATTTGAATATGTCCAGGAAAGTTTCCAAAAAGTTTATACAATCTACTCTTACTGGTGGTTACTGCTAAGTGTTGGTGGGTTGAAAGTATGGACAAAGGACTTTTTTATTATATGCCATATCCCTTCTTTTCTGATTTATTTTATGAAAGAACTACTCAGTTAAATAGATTCCCCTTCCTCTGATTCCACACTTACTATCTAACTTGTGGATGTAATTTTGCCTACACAAAAGTGGAAATAATGACCAGTTTACATGTTCACTTTGTACTTAAGAGTTATATTTCTCACTGTAAAAAATATTCAAAGATTTTTTTATTTATATATGACAGTGGAATGCATTACAATTCTTATTACATATATAGAGCACGATTTTTCATATCTCTGGTTGTATACATAGTGTATTCACACTAATTCGTGTCTTCATACCTGTACTTTGGATAATAATGATCATCACATTCTACCATCATTTATAACCCCATGCCCTCTTCCTTCCTTTCCAACCCCTCTCCCCTATCTAGAGTTCGTCTATTCCTCCCATGCTCCTGCTCCCTATCCCACTCAAAGGCTTTTTTAAAATAAAGAACTCAGGCCTGGGGTTGTGGCTCAGCAGTAGAGCGCCCGCCTGGCAATGTGAGGCCCTAGGTTCGATCCTCAGCTCCATATAAAAATAAATAATATGAAGGTACTGTGCCCAACTACAACTAAAACAAATATATATATATATATATATATATAAAGAATATGGGCTGGGGCTGTAGCTCAGTGGCAGAGTGCTTGCCTCGCACATGTGAGGCACTGGGTTGGATCCTCAGCACCACATACAAATAAATAAACAAAATAAAGACACTGTGTCCATATATCTAAAAAAATATTAAAAAAAAAGAATTCAAACTTTGAAAAGCAAGTAGCCATTGACTAACTCACCTTTTGGAAATCTCAGGTTGAGACTTTTAGTGAATATAAGGAAATTACCAGGAATATGAGTCAGAAAGGAAAATTTCTGGTGCTCATGAAGCTTCAGCTGAATCAATGGGTTATAGTTTCACTAAAATTTTCCTCTTGTTCCATCTTTGTTGAGCTGACTCACAAGCTTGAAAAGTTCTTTGCCAATTATTTCAGGTTGGCTATTGTTAGCACTGAAAATGGACATTTTTTACATTTTTTCAGAATCAGTTTTATTGAGGTATAGTGTATGTTACACTATGTATTTTATAATGTATTGACTGTTTGATGATTTTGACAAATGGACAGTGATGTAATCATGACCACAATCACTTATCAAACATTTCCATCTTTCTAAAACATTCACTTGTATCTTTTTGCAGTTAATCTCCCCTTCCTTGCTTTCCCAGTCCCCGGAAACCAACATTTTCTATCATTATAGTTTTGCCTTTTCTAGAACTTCATATAAGTGGAATTAAACAGCCTTTTGTATTTGACCTTTTTCATTTATCTTAAGTGCTTTGAGATTTACCTCTGTTGTTGTGCATATCAATAGCTCTTCTTTTTTTATTGTTGAGTAGTATTCCACTGTGTTTATAAATCACAAGTGTTTATTCATTCACCTGTTGATGGACATTTGGGTTGTTTCCAGTCTTTACCCATTACAAGTAAAACTACTGTGAACATTTATAAATAAGTATTAGTGTATACATTTTCATCTCTTTCTACTAAATGTCTAGAAGTGAGGTTACTAGGTGAATGTTAAGAATATGCTTAACTCTTAACTCTTTCCAAATTGGTCCTGTCATACTGCACTCCTACCATGGATAGTGAATTTCAGTTCTTCTACATCCTCAACCTTTGGAGTTGTCAAATTTTAAAATTTTAGCTAGCTCTATAGTGATAGCTCATTGTGGTTTCATTTGTATTCTCCTAAGAAAAAATGTAAGTCATCATATCAGCTATTTATTCATCTTCTTGGGTAAGAGGCCATTTGAAATGTTTTGCCCACTTAAAGAACTGGATTATTGGTTATTATTGTAAGTCATGCCTATTAGTGGGACTCTGAAATCAATTTTAGCTACCAATATAAAAGGTAACGTGTGAAACATACAGCTTCATTTTGTGAAACTTAAGTTTGCTGAACA